AAAAGATATAATAAGAGGCGAGTGATGGTAATACCAAAACAAGATAAAATCGCGATTTACAAAATATAGGTGATTCATTTAGTAAGTTACTGCCAGATCGATCATAAAACAAACGCAGTACAACACAATATAGAATAGTGAGTAATTGAAATATGGTTGCACATAATAGATAAAGTACAACTGAAGACTGACGCATCTGTCGACCAGTGAACGTAATTAGATTACAAATACCACCAATTATACCCAAAATTAAAGTACTGTAGTCAACATATAAAGTGATATTAGAGGCAATACTTGTAAGTGTTGTCGAATAGCTACTAACAGTTGACATATGGAAACTTTTGATATATATGATTCGATAGAGAAAATAGATGATAATGTAGAATATTATTTAAAAAAATATTTTGAGATAACAGGAAATGACATTTAGTTCATCTTTTTATAATTCTGAGTGTCCACCAAGAATAAATATCCTCAAACGTTAGATTTTAATGATCTTATTAAATAATTTTTTCATACTGATGTTCTATAATAGTTTTACATGTACGTGATAAAAATATAACATGAAAAAAAAACTATCCAAATCCAATTGTTAAAGCACGATTTATTTAATATCAAAGAAAAAAAGCTGAAAGGTATGTAATGAATTATTACATGAAGAAAGAAAAAAACAATTTCCTGTTTATATAATTACATATTCTCAAAATAAACCTGTTTGAAGTTCGATAGACATGCATCGTTATAGAATAGTTTAAGAAGCTTTCCTCTTTTCAATTTTCTTCTGATGAATATTGATTCCGTCTAATGATCTTAACGATTTAAGCAAGAATTAATCTATTCCACAACAAACAAATTCATGAGTATGAGATGTTCATGAACACTTATAATGTCTTATATTTGTTTTTTTTCCGTTCTGTAGAGAAAAAAACGCTTATTAATGTATGTCATCTACTGAGTATTGTTTCTCTTATTAATATCATTAGAAATAGCGAAGATATTCGTGTTTTAGCAAATTAAAATAAAATCGAATAAAATCACTTCCATATACTCACTAACTTTTCTTGTTCGTTATTTCGTTAAATAATCATATCGAAAACTATCATGAATACTTGATTTTGAAGTAGTTAAATATATATCTTTGATGACATTTATTCTGAGAAACACATACAGCAACGATGTGCCGAGAGGGAGGGTGCACACCAATGTTGGATTAATAGCTAAGAAATGAAATTTGAAAATCATCGAAAAACGGCTATGTGAATTATTGCTGATAATTTGAAATAAGTAGAATTTATCAAATAATCATGAAAGATACTTTTCTGAAAGAATAAAATGGATGAATTTGATTTGAAGAAAAATCTTTTGTTAGATCTAAATTTGTTTAAATAATGATTACTTTGAAAATGTCGATGAAATAGAAAGTAGTAAACGGAAAACATGATTATCAATGAGCCGATTGAAAAGATGTAAAATCTACAGCACCATGGCTCATTGCTAGGATACGAGATGCTATGTTTCTCTTTCTTTCTGAATTCCGTTTAGGAACACTACTTTATTTCATGATATTTCTCAAAATTTTCTTTGGATTATTTCTGATGTCTTACATATGTTTTATTTTGATTTTCTCTCCATTCGGTACAGATGAATGTTTGAAGTTTAGAACTTTAACAAGAATTTCTGTTTTGAAATTATAAAAATAAGACAATGGGTTCATATTTTATTTGTATTCTTCAAATAACTTGTAAAAATAGATTTAAATAAACATGATTTATTATTTAATTTGCAGAAAATACAAGACAATATCGAAATTGAACTTATTTATGTTTGTTTATGCAGTTCCCGTTGTTATAGTATTTGATCGAACGTTTATTCTTTTCATTATAGATGCTTTTAATGGATCTGTAAAATAAAATAGCAGTAGCATTACTGATAATGTTGATGCATCAAAAAATATATAAGCAATTCTAAAATGATATTTTGGTGGAGTTGTAAAAAATGATAAACACATCATTAATATATATGGAAATGCAATTGCAATTAGAACTGTAACAAGTATCACTATACGTCGAATCATTTTCAATTCACGTTTTGCACGAACTAAATTATTAGAGGTTGTTACATTTTGACTCATCTCTTTAACATAACGAACTAGTTTAAAATAAATGATTATAATTAATGAAATTGGAATATTATAAGCACAAAATGCTCCATAAATAATAGAAAATGATAACTGAAGAACCAATTGACAAATTTGATTATCACTATTGTAGGTAATATGATCGACCAATACAAATGGTATTGGATATATAAAACCAATCATCCATGTTATGCAAATAGTTAAACTTTGAAATCGAATAGATTGATAAAATAAACGATTGGGATAAATAATAATGAGATATCGATATAAAGCTTGTAAGAAAAATGAATAATTAAGTATACCATATGAAGCATAACCTATATAAGCTCGAGCAATACAAAGTGAATCTTGATACTGAATTTGTTTTAAATCATTTTGAAATGTAAATAAAGACATTCTAAGAATAATACATCCTACAATTAATCCAGCTAAACATGAATTAGCTACAAACATCATAAGAATTGTATGACATGTTCTATCAAAGATGATAATCAATAGATATATTAAAGTAAGTATGATGACTAATAGACTAAATATAATCATGAGAATATTTAAAGGAGTAAACCATGCTTCAGTAATAGTTGTTGTCGAATTTTCATTAAATAAATTTGAATTCATTTTTCAATGAGAAGTAAATCTATAAAGAAAAAAATGCTTTGAAATTAGCATATATATGTAGCAGAATCTTCCGTGTAGAGTAAGTCGTGCATACTCATTCTAATGAATAAATATGTTTGTCCAACCAATAAAATAATAAGCTACATTTTTTTTAAATTTTTAGATGAGAAACAACAAGAAAAAAATATAACTTCATATCATTAAAAATCTTCCATTAAAGTATCTTGGAGTATAATCACAAAAAGAAAAAATTTCTTATAGTTTGATTAAAAAAAACAAATAGATTGCAGGAAGTTATTAACTGTGAAGCGCTCTTTATATCAAATAGAAATATATGTACTAACAGTATGTAATCTAGTCGATTTCAAAGTATGAGTACTTTTTGATTATGATATAGAAAAAAAACTTGCACATTAAGAATGATGAAATAACTTAAAGATAAACAATTTGGATAATTATAGATTTCAGTAATACAACTCGATAACTATAATTTCATTTTTGCCATAAGTATGGACATATGAATCATTTTTTTCCCTCTGTTAAAAAGCAAATGGCCAACATAATACAAAGATATATAGAGAGAAGGAAAAGATAATAGACTATTTAACCCACTCGTATAAATAGAATAAGTATATGTGTCATTATATGCAAATGAGAGAGTATAAGAATATAGGATTTATTCTAATTTCGAATGACTTGTGGTAAAATCTGTTATTTTAAGTTCCATGCATTTCATGTTTAGTTTTCATATATAAATACAGCATTCAGTATGTACTGCACGTATATTCATAAAATTATCCAATAATCTTTTTCAAATATAATACTTTACTTACTTGCTGACATAATCCGATTTAAAAAAGGAATAGAAAAGTATGACTTTTCTTTGGATTATTAATCTGTTGTATTTAGAAGCTTTATTCTTCCACAAAGATTTGTCTTGACATCTAAAGAGGAAGGTACTCTTGCACTAATATCCTCTCGAAAGAAACAAATACAAAACATACATTCTATATCAATTTCACTGACGATTTTTTTATTCCATTTTATCGATATAAAGTTGTATGATGAACATGAGTGTGATGTGATTCTTCGATTTTTGTATATTTAATATCTATATCTATACTCATATACAGAGTATTTTATTTTCAAAATATTACTTCACGAGTATAATATAAATACACAGGAAAAAGAGTTTTATATTAAAGCTAGTTGATAAATATCATTTATTGATAATTCATAAGTTTGTTTCTTGAAATTGAGATGAAACACAAGTTCCAATAGTATTTATACTCGTTATACCGCTTGCCAGATAATCGGAAGATTCCGTTAACAAACAATCAGATACCATTTTTCTATGGAATAAGTCATGCTCAAATCCACGGGTAACGCAAGGCCGATTCTTTATGGGAAGCAATTAAATATAAGATTTTGCTGGAATGCTATTCAAGTCCATATCTATGCGTATATGTACCCACTGATTTAATGGTAATGGCATATTGACTGATGAAATTGTATAAATACCATTATTATCTATAATATTTGAAGTACTGATCTAAATAAGGCAGCAATAATTGATCATTTTTTAAATAGATCGCTCTTACATGAAGAATGATATTATTGTTCATGAAAGCATAAATCTACATTGAAAATGAATAAGAATAAATCACTTGACCTAGATAATAGAAACTTGTTGTTACATCGTTGATTCTATTAGGATCAAAATTTAAATATGAATTATGAAACGGATAATATTCGACTACTGTGTGTCATATCCACTGGCCATGATATACTCTCTTTCTTTTTCATGCATCTGCTTGCATTTATACTCCTCTCACTTTCCTTCTTTCTCACACACATACATCCCACTCTATCTTCGATATATTTTGGATGTTTTATGCATTCCATCTCGTGCTCTTCTTCGTTTCATCTTTTATGATATAGCTTACGCGTGATGATATGTGCTTATGGTATGCTTCACTCTTTTTTGTTTTTGCATTCATATACGTTCGTCTTGTTGTTTTGTTCTTCGAATATACACGATGAAATATTCATCACACTGTGGCTTCATTAACAGTTTATTATCATTCTTGATATATGACACAAATGTGAGCTAACCGATTTTTACTGTTTCAAAAATTGATATTATTAAAATCCTTTATCGCATCAAAATCATTCTTCTTGCATCTCCCGTATAAAGAACTGAAGGAATACAACTTTTATCTAAATGAGTATTTAGATTAAAAAAATCGTTTGATCAACAATGAAATATGATCGCAAAGCAATTCAGTTACACACACTCTTATCTTGAACTTCTCGCCAACCTATTGTAATTGCCACTTTTTTCAATTTGAATCATTCGATGACGATGTAAGATTTTTATTTTACATAGAAAATTCCAATATTAATAACAAAAACAACGAGACCTCACAGTGATACCTACAAAATTTCCAGTTAAAAATGAGTCAATGTAAATATTTGCATCTTATAAAAAAGAAAGAACGAATAAAATTATCGTACATTTGCAAATGATGGCATGATTATTCATCGAAGGAAACAAAGTGTAGTCGATTTTTAGTACGTGGGAATGTGATCGTATGCCACAAAAATTATAAAAGCATCATCAAAGTTGCATCGTCGAAACATTCTAAATATTACTTCCTAATAAATATACAAAACTTGCATTCTATTATTCAAGATTTATTCGTATTCCACAAGTGACATATCCGACTCATGTCCTTTTTCGAAAGAGAAATATAGTAATTATCATTGTTCTGTCTTATCTAAGGAAAATAAAGAGAGTAAATTTAGGACTTCTGCAACTACAAACTGCATATTTTATTTCTTTCTGATTTGTAGACTTCGATTTTACATGTAGATATGCTATTTTCAGATATTAAAATGAATAGTCTTCAAAAACCCAATATTTACAATGAATATTCGCCATTCAATGAATCAATCAGACAATATGGTTCGGACTTGTTCGATGAAATTCGAGAAAATTTGTCACGCACCATCCAGATAGGAGAATTAAATCCTGGCCTTTTAATTTGGTCACGGAATTTAAAAGAATTCATTTTAAAATATGGATTTTATTTTTCCAAGGTCGATCATCTTAAATTAATCAATTTATATCTTTCTATTCTCTCCATTACTGATTTGAATTATATCTATGTTCAACTATGTTTTGACATGCTTCGTGATCTCCTTCGGTTTGTATTCGAGATCTTTTTCAATACAAGCGATAACATAGTAGAATGATTTTTTTAGAAAGACTCGTTTGATCACACGAGATGACTTGGAAATTGATTGGAGAATATTATATTATTGGGCTCGATTGATTGATGATAATCATGATAAAATTAATGGATTAGTCACTTTACCCGGGTTCGTATGATTTTTTTCTCTTAAAAGGGAAGAGAATATCTTCAGTTTTATTCAGCTACGTAGACGGTTCACTTGCACTCTGTGTTACTCGTTGTTCTCCATACTTCTCGGCAATGGCTACGCAAGAAATTCTTGATGAATTGCGTCCACAAATGTGTCCTATGGGAGGGAGTTTTGCTGGCGTCATGAGGATGTTCTCATATTTCCTTCCTGTCAATTTACCTTCGAATCTGCATCACCAAGGATTTCAGTTTGTTTTCATTATTTCCATTCTTTTTCTTGATACCCTGTGTATTATTTTAGATTATGGTTATCGGAGTTTTTCAATATTTGGCAAAATATTTACAATCGAAATGTGTGGGAATCAGTGAGTTAACTTCTATACCCCATGTATCATTCTTAATAATCAGATAATTAGCGTCTAATCGATATTTTTTCATCAGTGGCTTGGCATAATATTGGTTATATTAATTGGGAACCATGGATGTCACAAGTACATAGTCTTTTTTCTCATCTATTTCGAATAATAAAAATTCATCTGTATTAGATCTTCACACGAATACTCAGAGGATTTTCACTTCCAATGGGTAAACCACAAAAAACTCCACAAAGATATCCCCATTTTGTCCCAGAGGTGGCAAAATGGATTGTTGCGATGATAGGCAATGACAGTTCGTGTCTACAATACTTGACAGATCTGTTAATTAGCATTCGAAGTTTCTATCATCCATCAAACATGGGCAAATTTCAGAAAAATCTAGTCGAATTTCTCTTGAAACTTACCACGTATTTTGTCGATCGAGTTCATTTGTAAGTATATTGATTGATTGAATGTGTATTATATGTAATGGATTTTCTAGAGAACGCAAAGCTCATCCTGTTTGGTTTTTCACACCACTGTCATCTCATCGACTGACGGAAGAAAATATCACTGATTTTGTCAATTGTCTCAAAGAGTATGTTTTTATGTCTATTTTTAATCAAGATTATACAGAAACAGCAGTAGAAGCTTGTCATTATCTTTCGATACTTCGGCCAGAATTAATAATTCCATCTATCGTTGAAAAGTATGATATCTTTGTTTGATTTCTTTGATTCATTGACTTATTGAATCTTCGTAGACATTTATTGGCGATTGATAGTATGACTGAACCACATCGATTTACATCCATCATCACTTGTTTAACACACATTGCTCGTCAAATAGTACAACAAACACCATCTTATACTCAAGGTCAAACTTATGTTTTACCGTTACTGATATCTGTATTACCTGGTATCGATCTGAATGATTTTAAGAAAACATCCGTTACATTAGAACTTCTTGACATTATATTGATGCAAATCACATGTATTGATTGTTCATCGGCCGTAAATATTCGAACTGATTTAACTGAAGTATGATTTCATTTCAACTTGAAATAAATAAATATGTTTTTTCTTGTAATAGATTGAAAGAGAAGTATGTTTATCGACATCGAAATTTGAAGGTTTTATCAATGAATTTCTGAATCGAATATTTCATATCATTGAGATTTCATCGGCCGAGATATCTGATGCGGTAACGACGGATGCAAATGATAATAAGCCGGATATAGACATCCAGCCAAAAGTGACTTCAATCCTATTCAATATTGTTCAACAATGTAGCAACCCTATTTTTCAAGTATTTATCGAACTTGCTTCTAATTAGAATATTCTCTTTAATTATGTTTATGACAATTTAGAAAATTCGAGAGAAGATAATGGATTTTCTTAGTAGTCAATGTTTATCACCAAAAGTACGAGACATCGCTAGTGGTCTCGTTCGAGCACTTGTCAAAGGTAATCCAATGGAAACACTGAAATATCTTCTTCCTGAAATATGCGAATCTATTAAAAACAAATTTAACAATTCTGAATCAACATTATTAACTGATTACAAAGATAATATAGAATTGATCTGGTATTTAGTTGTCTTTGCTGAACTTCTCCGTGCTCGTGGTGATGTTTTACTAATCTATAAACAATTGATTATGTCTGTATTTCATCAATGTATTCAAATTGTTAACAAGAATTCATATAAAGCAGTGGCTAACGCTGTTATAAATTTACTTGAATCTCTTTCCTATTCGTATCCAGTTGATTATCGACTGTTGGTCATCAATAGTGACGAATCATTCGACAATTTTTTACCAATTCGAGTTAGTTGTTGTTTTGTTTTTTTTCAAATCTTTTCTATTGAATGAATTGTTTAGCTATGGGGACAATCTGTAGATATTGATAAAGTTCAACCTCAGTTTCACATGCCCAGTATTGATGAAATTGATTTTGTTTACGAATTTGTCGAAATATTTCTATATCCTGAATTGGCGCGATTGAATGAAAAAGGTTTAAAAATGTCCAATAACGAACGATTGAGATCTCTCACCATTATTCAGTCGATCGCCGAAGGAGCCTTTTGTCTGGTGCCTCCTATTGAAAGTAAAGAAGTACAAAATCTTATGGTACAATCAATGGTTCCATATTATTCCAAATATCGAATTCGACTCTCAAAAAATTCAACAGAACTTAGTAAGAAAAATCAATTTTTGTAATTTGTTCGATTATTGCTTATCTCTAGAATGCCGAGAGAATTTGCGATTACGACTCTTCATCGATATTGGATTGCTCCTAGACAAGCTCGTCGAAAATCATTCGGATGATGTTTTATCGATACAAAAAGCTCTCGGAGTAAATTGAAATGATCATGCCAATGTTTTATCCTGTATCGTGTATTTTTTCATTTGTAGTTCTATCGATTAATTTCTAGTTATTACGGTATTTACAAGCATGGAATTTATGATTTGTCAAAAGATTTCGGTTCTCAAAAAAAATTATTAAAAAACAAACTATGGGGTGAAAGACAAAATCTTCGTTTCTTAATCATTCGAGAAATGGCTTTGAAGATTAAAGTAATTGAAAAGAACAAAATATGGATGAATTTTTCTTTCTGTTCTTAGGAACTTGAAACAAAAGGTAATTATGGTTCATTAAATGAGATTAACAAAGAGATAATCTTCAAATTATTCGAACTATCGATTAATCGATACAGTGAAGTCGGTTGAATTTGTTTTGGTTGACAATATTCATCTGATTAACTTTTAGGTGCGTCGCAAAGCACAAGAAGACCTTTTTTGCCTATTCAATCGTATTCACTTCTCATATCAAGTGATTGTTGATCGTATTGTCGAATTACTCAAGAGCACAAGCGAACACGATCATGATCAAATCAAAGTTTGATATTTTTCACCTTTCAAAATTATTCTTTTTATATAAATCATCTAGGGCTGTTTATACTTACTGCTTGGTGATGATTGTTTTTTCTTACCAACGAAATATTCGTGGACGACCAGGAAAAAACTATGGCCACTAATCGCACATATGACTCATACAAAGAAAACTAGTACTCAAAAATTGATCGAAGATATTTATAAAAAGATTTGTAAACAATTCGCTACGGATATTATCATTCAGAATACTAATGAAAAATCGATTTGTGCAGCTAAGACTCTATGGCGTTCATTAGAAACAAACGAAATGCAACAAATCGAAAAATATAATCAAAATAATATTCAGTCCTACAATCGTTTAATGGAAACACTTAGTTTATTATTAAAAGATTCTTCGTTGTAAGTTTGATTGCTTTATCTTCAAATAATTTTTTCATTGATGATTATTGAGGACATGGAAAGAACAAGAAATCACATTGTCATTATTATGTGATCTTCGTCAAAATCGTGTGCCAATGCCATTATCCTGTATTGAAACTTTTCTCGATTGTCTCATTCATGATCATATAGAAATACGAAAAGTTTGTTCACAAATATTATTTAATAAATCAATTTTTTCTCTTTAATTTTTTTCAGTTAGCTATCATAGGAATTATTTCATTATGTCGTTTGCAAAAACCACCACGCATCTATGTAGAAAAATCTCTCGAAGAAATTTTATGTAACAATAGTAAACCACTTCCTCATATGACTACTGATCACTGCCATCCGGGTGATCGGGAGGATAACTTATGGTTGACATTTAATGATTATAAACCACCGGAAACACAAATCGAATGGGAAGAAACATGCTTTTTAGATAAATCATTTCATGGATATTATACTTGGCCAAAAATAATTAAATACCCAATGAATAAACGAGCACGTTATACAAAAGATCATGAAATGCCCAAAGATGTAACCATTTTATATGATCGTTTTATGAATAAACAATTTGTAAGACAAATCACACAATTGATGATTTTGAACGAGAACGAGAATGAAGAACAAAAGAAATTTGATAAAGACCAATTTGTTATGTTTAAAGTAAATAGAAAAGTTCTATGATTTCTATATTAACTATGTTGAATTTATTATCGCTAGGGTCTATTTCGTAATTTTGGGTTGGCATTTTTTGATAATTTCATAGAACAATTGAACGAACTCATTCATGAAAAGATCACAGAAAAACAAGAAGGCAGTCATCGAGTAGCTGCACAAATTGTAGCAGGAATGATTTGCGGCTCAACAAATTGGACATTAAAAATGGTAAGACAAATGGATTAACTTAATCCAATCGTTGACTTATCATTTTCTTTAGTTGAATGAACTATGGGAAAAACTCACGCCGTTACTTACTGAAGTTTGTAATAATCTAAATTCCGAAATATTATCGCATTGGAATGCATGTTTCTTTTATATCATTGTACGTTGTATCTATCACTGATCATTTGATATTTTTTTTGTGTTGTTTAAAGATAAATAAAGATCCACGTCGAATGTTCCGCGTAATTCATTTTCTGTGCACACTAATCAATGCAAAATCAACATCGAATACATTTAATGAATCAGCACGTTGGTGCTTAATTCGAAATTTAGACGAATTTCAGTGGCGCATACCATCTGTTTGGTGTGAAGTGTATAAACACATTGCAGAATTACTCGATCATTCATCTCTAAGCGTTCGTACTCGTATTGCTTAGTAAGTAACAAATTTGAAATTTGTCTTTAAATCAAATAATTTTTCTTTCGGTACAGTGTATTAGCGTTGTCAATGAGCCATGATGTCACATTGCTCGATGGTCAGTCGACACGTCAACCAAATATTAATGTATTTCTCGACACTATATCTGAACGATTGAATCAAGCCATCGAAATTTGTGAAAGATTACCAATAAATTTGATATCAGATCAGATTCTTGAGACTGATCTGGAAACTCAGAAAGCTTTCCATTTCATTGAAACAGGTAGAAATGTGATGTTCGTTAGTTTGCCATGTCATTTCTTTTGATGCATTTTAGTGGTTATGACGAATTTCTATATATTTTACTATTCTCAGCAACCGATCAAAAATGGACTTCTTCGTCTTTTTCCTTTCGTATGTTGATAGAAATAGCTTATGAATGGAGAAACATACTAATTAGAAAAATGTTCTTTTTTAGCTTTGTGAAATCAAGAGTGTTGCGGGCTGTGATGAGAACTTTAAAGCATGTTTGACAGCTAGTCGACAATATTTTGGAATCAGTTATTTAAATCTTTCCTTTTTAAATACATTCGTTCAACAACTGTCACAAGTATTAAATCAGTTGAAAAAATAGATAGAATATTGTCTTTTTCTTTCATTCATATTCATAGATTTGTGTAAGCACTAAATGGCATGCACGTCGAGCGGCTATTGAATTTGTTGAAACCATGATTTTTTGTAATCTATTCAATACCCGTTCTTGTGCTAAACAAGTATATGAACTCGTTCTCAAGTGTCTCTCTGATGAACACTTCGAAGTGCGAATAGCTGCACGAAGTACTTTATCTGATTTATATCAATGTGGCTACATTCAAGTAACATCGAAAGAACTAGTACGATAATCTCTTTTCTTTTTCGAAAAAAAAAGATTTCAATTGATTTTTTTATTATCAAAGAGCAATTTTGGTTTGATGAGCAAAACGAATTATTTTACGAAGATCGACGGCAAGAAAGTAATCTTATCGAATAATATGATCAAACGTCATGCTGGTTAGTAAATTAATTTAATCAGGAAACGTTTAACATGACATTCATTGTAGGTGTTTTGGGACTTTGTGCAATCGTTCTTTCCAGTCCATATGATATTCCAATTCACGTTCCAAATGCATTGATGCTTCTCTGTGAACATTTGAACGATCCTGACCTAATTCAAGTATGTATCTTCTAATCTATTTGTATACATGTAGATGAAAGCTTTAATAATTAGAAATCGATCAAACAATGTTTATCAGAATTCCGTCGCACACATCACGACTCATGGCATGAACATCGAGAACGATTTACTCAAGATCAATTGACGATTTTAGCCGATGCACTAGTTTCTCACAATTATTATATTTGACATTTTGGATGTGGATGACAGTATTTTATTCTCTCAACTATATTGATAATCACATTCACACACACACACTTAGTTAAAAGAGGACTTCACCACATTTTTATTAATTTTTTTTCATATAACACTGAGATTACGTACGAAAAATAAAAAAAGGCGAGAATTTAAAATTACTTTGAATGAATGTTGAACATTTATTATTAAGGGTGTGAGTGGGTGTGAGTTTAAATGTTGGTGCGAGTGTCGGTGTGGGTGAGTGAGGATGTCGGTGTTGGTGTGGGTATTGAACTTCTTTCATATCTACACTCATATCCACACCCACGCCCTCACGATGGTTCAAGGAGAAGTCTTATTCAAAGTAATCGTTCAGAGGATGTAGTTATAGATGTGGGCATAATAAAAGCAATTATCAGACTCACACCTGAGTAGCTGCGACAGAGTTTTGAAAAAGTGCAATTTTTTTCGCTGAAATTCTTTCCAATTACAAGTGGCAGAGAGGTCACAGTTATGGTGCAATTGCGTCTCATTTTCATCACAAGCGAGCACATGGATTTTTCGATCGGCTTCACTACGTACTGGTTTAGTTTTTTTTTATTTTCATTCTATCGAACCAGTAAGGGTAAATAAATTTTCACCTGTCATGACACATTATGACTTATGTCAACAGAACACATTTCGTCGTGTATAAAATGCACAATTCATTCTCTTTCACTTCTTTCCCTTTTAAATCTCTTGGATGCCGCTTTTTTCAATATGATTAACAGTAGGACTGACGAAATCGATCTATCAATAATGTATGAAAAATAATAATAATGTTGAGATGTAAATTAACATCAGTTATAAGGTTATGTTAAAAGGTTGATAATGATCGAAAGAATGATCGAAAATTTCCAAAACATATTAAATTTTCAACATAAAACTACAAAACTTACTTACTTTTCATTTAAATTGATTAAATCTCAACATTATTATTATTTTCATACATTAGTGATCACATTATTCTCGCTTGTTTTGCTTTATTCTATTTGAAAGAACGTTATTGCAGACAACATTTTTTTATTTCTTTTCTTTTTCGTTGCTCTGCTTTTGAGAATCGATTCTTTTTTGTTCTTTTTTATGGGAGCAGTATTTTCTTTTTTTCAAATATGTACAATTTCAAGTACAGTTTCTCTGATACAGAACTGAAAGAATCATTTCACTACCTACAGAGAGCTCACACATGTTATTTCAAACTGACCTCTAGAACTGATCGAACAACGAAAAAAATGATTTTCTCATGATTTTCAGTTGACTTCTGCAAGACAAAAGAGGTTGAGCATGAGTAAGCAGGGACAGACGACAAATATTACTTATATATTATAGTGCGCACAAATGTTGATTTTTTATATCACTGTATTCATAAATTTCTTTATTAGACATGGCTAGTAACGCAGCTAAGATGACGCGTATTGTATGTATCAGTGACACACACTCACGTTATGGATTTACACTGCCGGCTGGTGATATTCTTGTCCATGCAGGTGACTTTTCTATGACAGGCGAGCAGAGTGAAATTGAAAGTTTCATCACTTGTCTCAAATCTCTGACTCAATATCGATTAAAAATATTTATTGCCGGTAATCATGATATGACATTACAACCGGCTTTTTATGAAAAGAATTGGGAGCGATGGCATCGAGGACGAAAACAAAATTATGAATTGATTAATCGACTTGTACGTGACCCATCGTTAATAACTAACTACGGAATTATATATCTGGAAGATCAAGAATTCGTTGACAAAGTTACTGGTTTGAAGTTTTATGGTAGGTAAAATTCGTAAATATATTCATTGCCACCGTATTCTTGAGTTTTACTTTCGTCTTTAGTCCCTATCAACCAGAATATCATAACTGGGCCTTTAATTTGCCGATCAATAGTATCGAAATTAAAAATGCTTGGTCTCGAATTCCGAAAGATGTGGATATTCTTCTCACACATGGTCCACCTACAAATATTCTTGATGAAAATACTGCAGGCATACGTGTTGGTTGTGCTCAATTACTTGCACGTGTCATAGCAATTAGACCTCGTTTACACGTCTTTGGTCATATCCATGAAGCATACGGACGAATAGATCAAGGCTTGACCACATTTGTAAATGCATCAACTTGTAATCAACGCTACGAACCTGTCCAACCACCTATTGTGGTAGATCTAGAAATGAAAGTATCACGATAAAAACATATGATATTTCGATATTTTTTCACTGAATTGTCATTTGTATGTTAAAAAAAATAAAAAATAAAATAAATCTATTTGAGTGAAAATTTGCAACTATTGAGGGTGGGTGTGGGTGTGGGTGTGGATATATGTTAGCTAACACAATACTCACATCTA